GCCCGCCGAGCCTGGTGGAGCCAGTTGGCAGGGAAGCTGGCAGGGCCCGGATTTGCCTCTCCCTTGACCCTGGGCAGGTGAGGAAGAGGCTGACGGGAAGATGCCTTTTGAGAGCCAATCTCTTTCCCAGGCACCCACTGCAGATCCAGACAGCACATGAAAAATAGAAACCAACATCAAAACACGGGAATGTGTAATAATAGCACTTGGAGCAGGCAGGAAAAAAAGAGTTCGAATCTGCTGATGACAAAATAACATTGCTCAATCTTTCCATTTTTTTTTTTTTCCCTTTGACTTCCTTGCAATCTCTGGAGTTCCCATAGCTATGGCTGTCTGCTTTACAAAATACATATTTACAAGCCCTCTAAGCCTGGCTAAATATAGCCTTTCTTTTAAAGCAACTGATGATGTGGAGAAATCTTTCCTCTGTCCTATCCTTTCCCTGCCCCCAATACACACACACACACACACACACACACACACACACACACAGAGCCTGACTCCTCCTTCTAGGTCTCCTTCCTAAATCTCCAAGATGTATCTGAACTTTCCAAGTGACACTAGAACAAAAAGTGGAGGGTGAATGAAAGAAAAAGGGGGCCAAGCAGAGGGACCCAGGCAAAGCAGTCTCCCAGCTGTGGGAGGACCTCAAAGAATCCCTCTCTCTGCAGGGGCACTGGGGGCCTTGAGACGCTAAGAGGCAGGAATGAAAAACCCTTTGGGAGGTAGAGAAGCAAAGTCACCTTCACTCCAGGGATGATCCCAAAAGATTTGGAGACAAGGTGTGCTTATATTTCAGAATCTCATATAATAGAACTCAAAGGGAAACGAGAGGCCCCATAGTCCAGTGGAGACACCGGTAGAAATGCAAATATTGATGCCTCGTTTCAGCCACACTTCCCCACACATGTACATGTGTACACACATACCCTTACATGTTTGGATAGCCATGTAATCAGTAACAGCCAACACACCAAGTTCAGACGTTCAAATTTGAACAATTTGATGAAACTGAGGCCTAGGGAGTAAAAACAACTACCCCAACCAAGGTCGCTCAGCAAGTGGCTGAGCTAAGGCTCAGTTCAGACCTTATAAACCTCTGTTTCTTTCCTCCAAAACTGGAAAGTCACTTCCCACTTCATGTCTCAGCCTTCTTCATTCCCCCTGGGAAGAGGTCAGTCAAGAGCCACTAAAGCCCATTCAACACTGACATCCTGGATTTGAGCTCTCCTGTATGTAAAATGTACTCACAGGCAAGTCTTTCTAGCATCCTTAAATTAGCCCAAATCTCTGGCAGAGGAGGACAAAAGGAGAGTGGTTGGAACAGGGGCCACTGGTTCACCACAAAATGACCAGAGAGCAGGGTCTAGGCCAGCCAGGTGATGCTAGCCAGGGAAATACCACTTTCCTAGGCTGAATCTCAAGACCCCAGGGCTGGAAAGAGAAGACAACCTTGGCTTGCTCACCCCAGGAGTCCAGGGCACTAAAAGCTCCAGATTTATTTATCACGAAACAGTTCTCTCTCTGCCTTCATCACCTGTCTTTGCAGTTAACACCTGGTGTTTAAAACACAAGCCTCAAGAACAGTCTCAGAAGGCCCTCAAATTTGAGGGTAGGTGGGAAAATAAACAGGGGCTTTATCTGGAGGAAGGTTGGGTGTGAATTATCTCCCCCTAAGAAGCCTCCAGGCTTCTTAGCAACAACTGGAAGAGGCACATACCCTATCTTCTGTGTTCCATCCACTTTCACTTCAGTTTACCCTTACTGAGCACAGAAAAACTAAGTGATTTATCCAAGGTCACACAGCTAGTAAGTAGTGGATCCAGGATTTGAACTCTGGCAACCTGGCTCCAGGGCCAGCTTTGGGAACCATTCATTCTACTCTATTTCATAACAGAGGTAAGGAAGGGTTAGAAGACTATCAGGCAACAAAGGATAAAGGAGAGAGAAAGAATGGTTAAATTACCTTGGGAGCTGAGTGAGGATCTCAGCCTGAGGAATGAAAATTAGGTTCAAACCCTTCAGTTTGGGCGTAACCCTTCCCAAAGTATCCTCCTCACCCTCCCCTTCCTGCAGGTGTGATTACTGCCTCAGGCAGGCAGGGATGGGTGGAGAAGATAACACCCCATTCCCCACCCCTCTCACAGGCTAGCCTGCCTGGCGCCTGACCCCAGGGAAGGACATGCTAAAGCACTCATTGCTTCATAAAAGCTTCTTTGGGAATTCTGGCTGGGAGGGTCACTAAGCTAACTGGGAGCCCAGGAAATAATGATCCCTCTCTTTAGCCTCAGTCATCTGAGCTCTGGGCTGGCTTCAACCCTCCTGCATCCCAAAGTACTCAAAAGGGTTTCTTGGAAGCCTCAGGACAAGGGAGACCCAAGCATCCCAACAATTAGAGTTCAACCCAAGCTGCTGCTGGAGATGTTGTTGGGGGCTGGGGCTGGGGGGTGGGGTGGGGTGGGGTGTCCGCAGGGCCTGACAGTTGGTTCTTAGCTCCTCCTCCCATCCTTAGAAGCTGGCTTCCCCACCTGGCCAGAAGCGTGGGCACAGACCCCTGGGCTGGGACCAGTTAGAATGACTCATCAAAGGCTGTGGGAGATTCTGGGCAGAATACTCTGGGGCCTGAGCCCTCCCTCAATCCACACAAGAGTTTTTGAGGACACTGCTCAAACCCCCAACTAGTGAGACTTCTATCTCACCTAACTTCCCTAATGAGGTTGGGGGTGGGGCCTGTAGGTGGGGAGGGTCAAGTCCCAGACTTGGGCTTGGAAATCCAAGTCACTGAAGCTCCTGCTCAGAGCCCAAATCTTCCCTTTCCCTTAGCCTCAGGATTGCCAGCCTCAAGATCAGTCCTGTGGCTCCTGGCCCCTCCCTGTCCCAATATTCAGGGTTCCCAGGAGGCTTGCCACACCCCATCCCCCACGAGCTTTTTGCACGTGCTACCCAGTTTATCTCCCACAAAACCCACACACGACCCGACAGTGGAGGGATGAGAGAATTCCTTTGAACACCCCTTCTAGGCAAGGGGGGCGGGTAGTGGGAGATCGGAAAGAAGAGGAAGAGGATGGAAGGGAAGAGGGAGGGGGAGGAGGCAGAGGCTGCAGGAAGGCCTGAGATGCAGGAAGCAGCTGGGAGTGGGGGGAGGCTTTGTGCCTGAGGTGTTCTCTGGGTCCTAGGGTCCACAATGTTCATTATTTTCTGGGATCTGTGGAGTGAGGCTGCGCATCTGGGTCTGTCCTGACCAAGGGAGTGGACCTTCACTCCCAGGCCCTGAGCAAGGGTACAGGGCAATCCCAGGCCCCTTGATATGTATGGGGGGTTGAGGGGAATATCAAAACAGCTGCCAGGACAGCGGACGTAGATGTCACTGCCACCCTTCCCCCTCCCTCCCTACATTCACACTTGTACACAGTGGCCAGAATCCTTTAGATGAGAGATAAAACCTAGAGCTCTCACTGGTGAAACTTGGGCCCCAGGCCTCCAGAATTCCTCCTCCAAAACTCCTTCTTCCTGTTTGAGAGGCAGGAGTGCCCTAGTAAGGCCCTGAAGACAGGGATTCCACCCTTCATTTCCAGCGTGGGCACAGTGCAGGCAGTTGACAGCCTACCCTCTTCAGAATTCCAGAGGGCAAAAGCCAGCTTCAGGACCATTCCTTTCTTCCCCTTTCTCCCCCACCATGAGACCAGCAACATTGGGTCAAAGCTTCACACCTTAAAAAGTACAAAGGTTCCCTATTGTTACAATGCAGATTCCAAGGCCAGCCTCTGAGATTCTGCTTCACAAAGTCTGGGGGAGGATCCAGAAATCTGAATTTTGAAAAAGTTCAAACTAGGCAGCTCCAAGAATCTTGAAGAAAACGATCCTTTGTCCCTCCCCCATTAGTTCCCCCTCCACACCCAGAGTAGAGGAGGGCCACGAGAAACCAGAGTGCCTTCCCCTAATATTTAGTGGAGGGCTTCCCTGGTGGCTCAGACTGAAAAGAATCTGCCTGCAATGCAGGAGCCCGGGGTTCAGTCCCTGGGTCAGGAAGATTCCCTGGAGGAGGAAATGGCAAACCACTCCAGTATCCTTGCCTGGAGAATTCCATGGACAGAGAGGAGCCTAGTGGGCTACAGTCCATGGGGTCGCAAAGAGTCGGACACGACTGAGCGACTAACACACTTATTTAATATTTAATGGGGGGTGAGGTTATATATGTTGCGAAAAGCTACAGTCAGAGGTTGGCATGGAAGGGTTGAAGAAGACTGGCCAACCTCTGGGGTCAGTGGCCGGCTATGGCGAGGGCCGGTAGGGGAGGAGTATACATTGGGGTGGAGGGGAAGGGGAGGGCTCACAGGCTCGGGTCCCGGAAATCCGATCCCTTTAGGACCCAGAGATGCCAGTCCCCCAGCGGCGGCGGCGAGAAGGGCTGCCGCTCGGTCTCCGGCAGCCGCCGCTCGGGCAGAGCCAGAGAAAGACCGAGGCTCGGGGCGCGGGGGGGAGGGAGGGAGGGAGGGTGGCGCGGCGGCGGCGGCGGAGCGGCCCGGGCCGGCCGAGCAGCTATGGGCGCCCGGTTGCCGGGCCCCTGGAGAGCCAAGGCCCCCGGCCGGGGTGGGGGGTGCCGGGGCTACCAGCCCCGCTGACACCGCCTCGGACGATGTGAGCGGGCGCCTCCGCTGCTGCAGGGAGAGCGGTCCCACCGGCTCCGAGCGCCCCTTTTCTAATTTGGGTGGGGGCGACCATACCAGGCCGCTCGGGCTTTGGTAGAAGGGCGGGCTGTCTTTGGCAGCTTGATTGGGGGAGGCGATCCACACAGGGCACTCGGAGATTTTTTTCTTTTCTTTTTTTTTTTTTAAAGCGAGGTTAACTGTTTTGGGCAGCTTAGTTTTGGGGGGAGGCTTTAAAAAGGCCTTTCGGGGTTCCTTTTCTCTGGGGGAGGGGGCGGTGGTCCCGACTTGGCCCGCCGCCTGTTGGAAGGGGGGAGCGGGAAGCGTTGGGATGCGAACCCGGCTCCCCCCACTATGATGAAGACGGAGCCACGGGGGCCTGGGGGTCCCCTCCGGAGCGCCTCCCCGCACCGCAGCGCCTACGAGGCGGGCATCCAGGCTCTGAAACCGCCCGACGCGCCCGGGCCCGACGAGGCACCCAAGGCAGCCCACCACAAGAAATATGGCTCCAACGTCCATCGCATCAAAAGTATGTTCCTGCAGATGGGCACGACGGCAGGCGCGCCGGGCGATGCGGGCGGCGGCGCGGGCCCCACCGAGGCCCTGCGGGCGCCCGAGCGCGGCGTGCGATTGTCGCTGCCTCGGGCCAGCAGCCTGAACGAGAACGTGGACCATAGCGCCCTGTTGAAGCTGGGCACCAGCGTATCGGAGCGCGTGAGCCGCTTCGACTCCAAGCCCGCGCCCTCCGCGCAGCCCGCGCCGCCGCCGCACCCACCGTCCCGGCTGCAGGAGACGCGGAAGCTGTTCGAACGGAGCGTCCCCGCGGCCGCGGGCGGCGACAAGGAGGCCGCGGCGCGGCGGCTGCTGAGGCAGGAGCGCGCCGGCCTGCAGGACCGGAAGCTGGACGTCGTGGTGCGCTTCAACGGCAGCACCGAGGCGCTGGACAAGCTGGATGCCGACGCCGTGTCCCCGACGGTCAGTCAGCTAAGCGCCGTCTTTGAGAAGGCCGACTCGAGGACCGGCCTCCACCGCGGGCCCGGGCTGCCCAGGGCCGCGGCCGCCGGGATTCCCCAGGTCAACTCGAAGCTGGTCAGTAAGCGGTCCCGGGTGTTTCAGCCGCCCCCGCCGCCGCCTGCCCCGTCGGGGGATGCCCCAGCCGAGAAGGAGCGCGGCCCCGGAGGGCAACAGCCCCCGCAGCACCGAGTGGCCCCCGCCCGGCCGCCCCCCAAGCCCCGGGAGGTGCGCAAGATTAAACCGGTGGAGGTGGAGGAGAGCGGGGAGTCGGAGGCCGAGGCAGCGCCCACAGACGTGATCCAGGCGGAGGTGACAGTCCACGCGGCCCTGGAGAATGGCAGCGCCTTGGCAACCACCGCTAGCCCGGCGCCTGAGGAGCAGAAGGCTCAGGCGGCTCCGGAGGAGGAGGCGGCGACCGTGGCGGTGCCTGAAAAGGGGGTGGGCAATGGCCGGGCCCCGGACGTGGCCCCCGAGGACGTAGACGAGTCCAAAAAGGAGGACTTCTCGGAGGCGGACTTGGTGGACGTGAGCGCCTACAGTGGGCTGGGGGAGGACTCTGGGGGCAGTGCCCTGGAGGAGGACGACGAAGAAGAGGAGGAGGGGGAGCCCCCCTACGAGCCCGAGTCGGGGTGCGTGGAGATCCCAGGGCTCTCGGAAGAAGAAGACCCGGCCCCGAGCCGAAAGATCCATTTCAGCACAGCGCCCATCCAAGTAAGTGAACCCCCCTCGCCGCCCCCTCGCCGCCCCTGCCACGTGCACGCAGTCGCCCCCGCCTCGCCAGCCAGCCGGGTTTGGCAGGCTGAGTCAGCCCTGTCACCCAGCCCCCTTCCCAGAAGTTACCTCCCTGAGGGGGGCGTGGGGGACTTCCAGCTGTTTGTCAGAGGGGGAGGATATTTAGGCCTGAGATGAGGTGGCCTGCCCTGACCTGCCCTCGGGTTCCTCTGCCTGCTGCCCCACCCTGCCCTGCGCCGGTCCTGGGACACCTGCTTTCCCTTCCTTTCCCAGACATTCTCCCTCCCGAGACTGCCGGAGGCGTGGGCTTAAGTGGTGGGAAGGTGTGTGTGTGTGTTTATGTGTACCTGTGACCTCCGGAGAGCACCCCCACTTTGGTCCTTGGTCCGCTCTGGGTTGGAGGGGCATGAGGAGCTTAGAAACACCCCTGCTTTCCTCCTGCACCAGAGCTGCATACGGGGGTGGAGGAGCCAGAAACTTCCCAAAACGAAGGTGCAGCCCTTCCTTCAAACCGGTTGTAGCCTTCACCCCAACTTTGCAGAAGTGAAAGAGGGAAGCAGGTCTCTGAGGTTGAGCTAAGCTGGGGCCATGTGACTGGGGGCCCTGGGCCAGCTCCCGAGGTGGGGGTACAAGGTTACACAGGCAGGCACTGTCTGTGGTTTTTGAGGAGGCTAGGCCTTCAGCAGGGTATGGAGGAGAAGGAGGTGGGGCTGGGAAACTCCTAGGTGCCTGGCAGCAGCCTCCTGCTTTTGCTCTTGGCTTTGGCAGGCACCAAGCGCTCTTACCTCATTCTCTGGGTACCCTGCAAGGACAAGAGATCTTGCCTTTTGGGGGGCACACAGACGATTGGTGATTGGTTTGTGGGTTGTGCCAGTGCCCTCAGATCCTCAGGAGAATGCTGGGAGAGACCCCTGGGAGAATTAAGAACCCCAGCCCCGTTTCCTGAGGCTTCCCTAGTGGCTCAGAGGGTGAAGAATCCGCCTGCAGTGTACTACCCTCTTTTCTTGGCTGGCACATTCAGCTTAACGATTTTTCTCACCACCCCAAGCTCAGCTGTGCCCAACTCCCAAGTCTGCTTCATGGGGGTGTCCAGGCCAAGGAAAGTTCAGCCTTTGCCCCTCCCCAGTCAGACCCCCCTCTGTTTGATTGAAATTTCCATAACTACTCCTGGACACTGAAGCTGCGCATTTCCTCCCACCTGCCCCAGCATCTTAACCTCTGTTCCTCTTCCACCTCCCACCCCAGGGGGCCTGGGAAGTGCAACTCCCCACTCAGCCCAGCCCCTTCCCCCAGGCTGTGACCTCACAAGCCTTTTGTCTCTCCTCTCCTTTTCTGAAGTGCTGGGATCCTGGAGGCAGAGAACTGAAGAATATGGGGTGTTTCTTGGGACACTGAGGATGCAAGTGGGGACCACTGAGGGGGTCAGGACACCCCACGGCCCTGCCACAGCAGTTCTCTGAGCTGCCTGATCCCCTCAGAGGTGGAGTTTGGTCTTTTAGTCCTGAGCCTCTGGCTGTCTATATTTGACACCTTACCCTGATTTTTGGGTAAAAAATAGCACATGATTTGGAGCAGTGCTCCCTGACTCCCTGGTGACAGTTTCTCCCCTGTGGTGTGTGGTGCTGCCTTTGTGTGTGACTTTTGACCTTGCTCGGGGTGTCTTCCTCCCCACCCAGTTCTTCCCTCTCTCTGCCCCCACCCCTGCATTGATACCAAGTCCGGGGTCTTGTGCCCCTCGGATGACCCAATTATTGGCCATAATATAGAGGCTTTTGCTGAGGACAGAAACCTCAATTCTGCATGGTTATTTGGAGAGGGGGACTGCATCCAGGGCCCTCGAATAGGCTGGACACATGGAGGTGGGCAGTGTGAATGGTGGTCTGAGGCCTCTGACCCTCCGGCCTGGGTTTCCTGCAGGGGGCAGGATTTAATAATCTGAGAAAAGAGGGGACGACAAAGCCCAGGACAGGCTGTGAGGGTGTTTTGGAGGTCACAGAGTGTGTGTGTGTGTGTTTGTGTGTAATTGCATGTACTTAATCGTGGTGGGGAGGAGTTTGGTTGACCCAGGCTACCACATAGACTGAGGGATGAAGAGACCCTCTCTGCTGAGATAGAGGGTGAGGGTCAAGGGACTCGGATGCAGAAGTGGGTCAAAGCCAGTTTGCCAGATCTAGGCGCATGCCGGCCCCATCCCGGGGCTGGGGACCTATGTGCAATGGGGACAAAGTCCCAGTGACCCACCCACCAGTCTCATCCCACCCTGCTATGGGCTAGCTCCCATGACCTTGGGCAGTGGGCCTAGCATCTTGCACCATATGTAAACTAGGTGGCCCATTTCTCCCAGGAGCTTGGGGCTGCTGGGCAGATGTCAAGAGGGCAGTCTGACTGCTTGCTGCACCATCAACAAAGAACTCTAAGGGTTTGCACTCTTTCTCTGATGCTGTAAAGTTGCGGGCAGTGAGTTAAGTGACCATGTAGGCCCCTCTCAGCTAGGAGCCCCCTTGTGGGAGCCGTGGTGCTTGGGGGGTGACCCTAAACCAAGGCTGGGACACCAGAGCTGCTGGCCTGGGTGCCCATAGCGCCTGCTTCTGGAGGAGAAGGACCCTGGCAGGGGCCTCGGGGGAGACAGTGTCCCACTCCAGCTGCTTAGGCCTCAGGCCCAGCCATCTGATAGAGCTGCTGCTACCCTTCATCGCCCCCGCTTGGCTCCAAGTGGTGCCAACCTGTCGCTGCAGGCAGTGAAACAGGAACACATCATGGTGCCCCAAATGGTGCTCATTAACCTCCCACCAGGAGCACCCCGCCTGGACTCAGACTTAGGCACTCCTGCTGACCCCTTGTCCTACCTTCTGTGTTCTTTGGAGGAGGGTCAGGCTGGGGATTCCCCTTTCCCCCGAGCCAGCAGAGGGGTACAGAGGACAGTAAGGCCAGGTTCACTGTGGACAGTGTCGGAGGCTGCCACTTCCCTGCTCTCCTTGCTGTCTGCAGGTAGTGGGTCCAGGACCTCTGTCCGGGCCTCCTAGTGCCCTGGGGATAAGGGGGGTACCTCAGAGAGCTGCGGTTCAGAAGGGAGATTGAGGTCTGGCCGTATGGGCAAGGCCATGGGGGCCCCTCGGGAGGAGGGCCTGCCCATTCTCCATGGGGGTACCAGTGGTCCTTCTCCTCTCTCCTCCACCCTGGAGGCTTCAAGTCCAGGCTAGCTGGGTCCCGGGTGCCCCGCTTCCTCTTTCTACCCTTCTCTCTCCCCCCCGCCCCCCCCCCCGGCCCCGTGTCTCACACCCGCTTCCCCCCTCCCCATCTGGCATCCTCCAGCATCTCTTCCACTCCTTATCCCTCCTCCTCTTCCCCTCTTCTACTCAGCGTGTTCCTTCCTCTCTCCTGCCGTCTGTGTCCACCCTCGTCTTTGTCTGGGATGGGGGCTGTCTGTTGGTCTCTCTCTGGCCTGGGAACCTGGGTTCATGAGTGTGACAATTTCTCCAGCATTGACCTTCCTTTCCTCCTCTAACTGGCCATTCTTATGTGGTCAGGGCTACAGGAGAGTCACGGTGTGGATATGGCAAGGCTGGGTCCCTTTCTGTCTTGCCCCCTAACTCGGAACTAGGAGGGCCCCACTCTGAGCTGGGATCAGCGCGGACTGGGGAAGGCCTCACCTCAACCTGTCTGGGGGTGGGAGAGGCCTCTGGCAGGAGGGGAGCGCAGTGGCTGGCGCAGCCTGCCCTTTCAGCCTCCTCTCACTGGGTTAGCCCTTGCCCTCCTATTGGCGCCTCTGACAAGCAGCCTCTCCCCAGGTGTTCAGCACCTATTCCAACGAGGACTACGATCGTCGCAACGAGGACGTGGATCCCATGGCAGCCTCTGCTGAGTACGAGCTGGAGAAGCGGGTGGAGAGGTTGGAGCTGTTCCCTGTGGAGCTGGAGAAGGGTGAGCCGGGCCACCTGGGCCTCCGCCTTGTGCCACCTTCCGCCCTGGGTGGACCCTCAGGGCTTCCACTGAGATGCTCTGCTTCCTCTAACTGGGCCTCAGTCAGCACCCCACAGCCACACAGACTCAGCCCAGTCCAGACCCCCACTACCACCCGGCCCCGCAGGAGCACTGTGGGCTGGGCTCTGGGCTCTGTGGGCCGAGCCACAATGGGACAGTGATGGAGGGGGAGACGGCAGGCATGGCTGGAACGGTCGCACCTAACTGCGTCCTTTGCACAGTGAGGGTGCCGGGAAAGGAAGGAGGGGCCACCATAAAAGCATTTAACAGGAGACCTGACCAGACCTGGGGGGATCCCCAAGGAAAGGGACGCTTGAGTTGAACTCTGAAGAGGAGATGAAGGGAGTCTGTGGAAAAGAGGAGCGAGACCTGGTAGATTTGGAAGGTGGGGGAGAAGGCTGTGCATACAAGACCTTGTTGACCACTTTTCTAAGATGGACTGGGAGCCTTGCAAGGTGTGAGACAGGTTTTCTAGAGAGACTATACCAAGCTGTGCTGTGGGGCAAAGGGTTGTACATGGTTGGAGAGGGGCCCCTGTAGTGTGGACACGGCGATGGCGTGTGGGAAGGGGGTGGACTTGAGGGATTCTTGGAAGGTGGGATTGACGGGATTTGGGGGTTACTTGGCTTCCACAGAGGCTGCAGGGGGAGGGAGGAATCCAGGTGACTCCCAAGCCCTGTGAAGCCGGCGGGGGGCGGAGGCTGGAAAAGCCTATTTGTGGGGGAAGATCTCGTTCAGATGTCAGAGGCCTGTGAGACAGATGGAGGCAGCTGCGGAGAGAGGAGTGGGTCTTGAGGGAAAGAAAAGCAGATCTTGAGTCACTGAGGCTGTGAGCAGGGATGAGACTGCTTAGGGAGGGGGAAGATCAGCCCCCTCGTGGCTCCCCCACCGGTCCACATGGCCACCACACACCTCATCTGCATACAGATAGTGCCCCCTCAGCACACCCTGCTGCCCATCAGTTCTTTGGATGGGGCAGAGGGCAGACAGTGACCCAAGAGCATCCTAGTTGGCTTGGCAAAGAGGGAGTACAGAACCAGATGTGGGACATCCCCTCAGCATGGAGACTGCTTCTTGAGGTGAGGCTGTGCCCCACTGTGAGGGCTGGGGATGGGTCTCTCTCACTGTGTCCCCTGAAAATCCTCACCCCTTCCCTCCCAATGTCCTGCTGGCTTCTCATCACCCTCTGCTTCACAGACTCCGAGGGCCTGGGCATCAGCATCATTGGCATGGGGGCCGGGGCGGACATGGGCCTTGAGAAGCTGGGCATCTTCGTCAAGACCGTGACTGAGGGCGGTGCGGCCCACCGGGACGGCAGGTACCACCTCCCCTTCCTTTATCAGCCATCACCTGGGGGGTGGGTCACTGAGTGGGGCACAGGCCACTACCCGTGTGGGGCTCAGACGTTCGTGGAGACCACTGTGCCTGTTGCTGGTCCACTCCCCCAGGGAGCAGTGAAGAACAGACAGGGCCCTTGGCTTCATGGCACTTGCATGCTGTGTAGGTGTTGTGTTTCGGGCCATGGTGAGGAGAGCGTGGGTGTGGAGGCTCTGTGCCTAGTAGAGTACACATGCGCTGTCTTTTTCATCTAGGAAATATTGAGCCTGTGACACTGTTGAAGGGTTGGTGCCAGGCCCTGGGAGTCCGTGATGAGGGCCTTGCCCTTAACAAGCATATAGTGTAGTAAGGCAGATGGACATTCAAGAGGACACGCAGAAAATGGTGAAATGGACAAAAGCACAGGGTGGCACTAAAGCCTAAGTCAGGAGGGCTTGACCTCTTTGGGTTTCAGGGAGGTCTTCCTGGAGGAAGTGACATTGGAGTTGAGACCTAAAGCATGAATGGGAGTGGGGTGTGCAAAGTGTCCCAGGCAGGGCAACAAAAGCAGGCAGGTATGGCTGGAGCTAGAGACCACAAGGGATTCAGGTGTCTTCTGAGGTTAGACAGCCGGTGGAGGTGGGCCGGGGAGGAGGCTGGCCTTGCCTTTGTGCTTACGTTTGGCCCCTGAGGCTGGAGGGTGTGAGTTCTGTGGGTCAGAGGGCTCAGGAAAGATCCCCTGGAGTTCTGGGCAGCCCAGTGAGTCTTCTGGAGCCTTCCTGCTGTGTGTGAATTGCAGAGGAAGTGGGAATGGCTGTAGGGCACCCCCCGGGTTGTAAGTTAAAGGTTGATATCAGTGTTCCTTGGGGTACCTCTAAGCCCAGATCCTTCCAAATGACAGAGGTGACTGGGTGTTTCTGTGAGGACTGGGGTCATGCTGCTAGAGGTGAAGTTGCCTCATTCAGGAAGCTCCTGTCTGCTGCCGCCCAGGTGGCATGATGGGCAGGGGTGGGGGTGGGCAGAGAAAAGAAAGGTGACCACCCCTGCTCTTTTACTTACCCCCTTATTTGAACTTCCCAGAACCTCTCCCATGGTTGCCTGTTGGCCAGTTGGGGAGTGTGTGTGCATGTGAGAGTGTCCCGGTGGGGGGTGAGGGTGAACTGTTTACTGTAAACCATTTCCTCCATTTCTGTGTGGGAGCCCTGCGAGGAGGCCTGGCACTCTGGAGGGAGGTGGGAGTGGAGGATGGAGGTGGCCGAGTGTCCCTCCCTTGCTTTCATCCCCCTTGCAGTCAGGCTGGGCCACTCCCATCTCTCCTTGTGTGGGGAACAGGGCTTCCAGCGCCATAGCTGGAGCGTATTGGGGGCTGTGCACATGTGCTGGGGGGACTAACCCTGTGGGACTGTAGTGAACACAGATCTCAGGCATTTGGAAGAAATCTGTGGGCTCAGGTCTGTGCAGAATGGGTGTGTAAGAGGGCTGGCTGCACATCACTTGTGTGCTGGAGGCCCTAGCTGGTGTACATGGCCATGATGAACTCTGTGGATGTCACACTGGTCTGTCGAGTGACGGAGGAAGGGACTAGTGTGTGATTGTCTTGGGAAGTGTGCTGGCCACCTTTCCTGGTTCTGGATGCCCATGTCTGTTGTACTTGCTTGGGTCTCACGGCCCATGGGCCTGGCTGATACCAGATCCTCCGGCCTCACGCATCTTATTTAGGTAGACAAAGTACCAGGTTCCTGTGGGGACTGAGCCTTGAGTTTCTGATGGGAAGGGGGCCATGTCTACCCCAGCTCCGCAGTTCCCTTCGGGATCCCCTGACCAATGTCACTCACCTCCCCCTCGCCCGTCCCCAGGATCCAGGTGAACGATCTCCTGGTGGAGGTGGATGGAACGAGTCTGGTGGGAGTGACCCAGAGCTTTGCAGCCTCCGTGCTCCGGAATACCAAGGGCCGCGTGCGGTGAGGCCCAGGAGGGTGGGGGCAGTGGGGAGTGGGAGCAGACAGGAGGCTCAGCCCTTAGCTGGCCACTTTGCCCACCTGCCCACACCCAGTTAAGATCCTCTGTGGCCCAACTTACAGAGACGTTTCCACTGTGGAAAGGAATTGCTGTGTGCTTATCCCTTGCCCTGTCTCCCTTCTCATCTCCAGCCCCTGACCACTACTGGCCACCAGCACTCAGGCTTCAGGCCTGTTGTCCACCATGCCTCCAAACTGGCCTCTTGGTCGTCTTTCCCCGTCTGTCCTGACTCATTCATTGAAGATCCCAAGAGGCGCAGGGAGGATGCCATCCAGATTGGGGTTTATCCCTCCTTCCCCTCTAGCCTGGTATAGTCTGTGAGGACTCTCCTCCTTGGGTCTGCCAACTGAGGTTGGGTTAGAGGCTCCCTATGTTCATCTCTGGCATAACATTCAGGGACCACTCCCTGCCCCCTTTAAAAGGGGTACTGCCCCCAGGAAAGGGTGGTAGAGAGAAACAGGATGTGGGTGGCCACGGAGAGGAGGGGCTGGTGCCTGGAAGTTCCACGATTTCCTTTCCATCCTAATCTCCAGTCGCCATCATTCCGCCCCTTCCTGAGGCTCAAGGACTTGAAGAGCATATAAGACACCCCTCCACAGCTCAGGGTCAGCTTTGCCAGTCCCCTGCCTCATTGTCTCCCACGTGGTGAGGGAAGAGCTTCTATACTGGCACCTCCTGAATTCATGTCCCCTGCAGCCTCGTGCGAAGTTTGGCTGACATCTCCCCATCCCCCAAACTGGCCAGGAGGGCTAATGGGTCTCTGCTACTCCTGGGAAAGAAACCCAATAAGGGCCCCCTGTTCCCCCATTCATTATTAACACTCTGCAGTCTCTGGACTCAGCCCTCTCATTTCACCTCCCCTGGGAGGACCTGGGTATTGAGAGGGGAGTACCAACAGGGAGGATGGTGGCATTTCCAGTTAAGGACAGAGAAAAAGGAGACAGCGCTGGTGCCCCTGCAGGTTTATGATTGGCCGGGAGCGGCCCGGTGAACAGAGTGAGGTGGCCCAGCTAATACAGCAGACCCTGGAGCAGGAGCGATGGCAGCGGGAGATGATGGAGCAGAGATACGCCCAGTACGGCGAGGACGATGAGGAGGTAGGGACTCCACTTGACTGGGAGCGCCATTGTCCCCTGGTGGCCTGATGGAGCATTACAGCTGTCCTCTGCCTCTGCCACTTTCCCAGGCCTTGTAAAGAACCCCATAGCGCCACTCCTATCCTGGGGGAGCCCCTAATCTGAGAGGAAATGCAGATCCTTCCCTTAAAGAATCTCTAGTCTGATGGAGGAGCCACACCCTATGTCTTCAGAAAGCCTTCCTGGTCCTACAAAGAAAACATAGTTCCCTCTAAGAGCCTGCACTCTAAGGGGAACTAGTCTGAGGAAGGAGACAGCTCTAGACCTCAGGGGACCTGCTGCGTGAGGAGGGGAAAGCAAAGGCTGTTTCTTCAGGGGTCTTAGTCTTTTAGGGGATAACTCCTGTCTTCAGGAGACTCTCCTGAAGTCACAAACCATGCCCCTGGCGTGGGCCCCTGACTGAATAGGATGGTGTGGTCATGAACCACACCCCTGGGTCACTCCCAGTCTGCCATGGACCAACCACTGCTGATCTCAGCCCTACTCATCAGGGCTGAGGGAGGCTGGCGCAGGCAGGAAACACAGCCCCCTGTCTCCCTTCACAGACGGGAGAGTATGCCACCGACGAGGACGAGGAGCTGAGCCCCACGTTCCCAGGGGGCGAGATGGCCATCGAGGTGTTCGAGCTGGCAGAGAATGAGGATGCCCTGTCCCCTGTGGACATGGAGCCCGAGAAGCTGGTGCACAAGTTCAAGGAGGTGCGCAGAGGGGTCCCTAGGCTGGTGGAGGGCAAGGGCAGGCTAGTATTTGGTGCTGCAGCCCTGCCTGCCCCAGCCAGGGCTGAGTGTCTGTGCCCTCACCCCCGCAGCTCCAGATTAAGCATGCTGTGACTGAGGCAGAGATCCAGCAGCTGAAGAGAAAGGTAAGAGTGGCAGGAAGTGGGGGAGGCTGAGGCTATGGGGGCACAGTCTTCCACCCTCACAGCTGTACATGCTGACCCTTGTCCACCACCCACAGGCACATGGGAAACAAGCTGCTCTGAAGTAAGGGAGGGTAGTATTAAGAGCTCAAGCTCTAGATCATCTCTCCACCACTCACTTGCTGCTGTGGGCCTCATTCTCCATAAAATGATTTGATAATAGTGCCAGGACCATAGGACCGTTGTGAGGATAAAATAGAACAATACATGTAAGGTCTTTAGTACAGTGTCTGACACATAATAGTTGCTTAATAAAAAGTTGAGCTATTAGCTGTCAGCCCTCTAATAGCTGAACGTGGATGTCTTCATGTTCACATAGTCCCACACGTGTCTTCTACATACAAGCCTAGCACTTAGCCTAGCCTAAATGCAAACTACCCAGAGATCCAAACACCAGCCCAGATCCCAGGTACGTGGTACCCACAGACCCACCCACCCAGACACCTAGTGACACCCACTCTGCTTAGACATAACATGAGGACAATGGACCCATGCTTCACAAGCAAGACGTTTGTGTCCGTCTGCTTGTGTGTCTGTCTGCTGTGAGATACAGGACGTTTCATGGAACACGTGCATTCTCACAGAGATGCCGTGTAGACACCCGCACAAGCACACTGGGTGCCAATACCCTTACAGGCATAGAGATGCAGACTTCTGATACACAGTCTGTACCAGGCCCCTACTGGGCCTGGACATTAGGAGCTTCCAGTGTGGCAGGGAGAGGCAGAGGCACACAGGGGTTTTGCAGACATTGTGCACCCAGGTACACGCAGGTGCATTCCCATATGTGAGCTTAGACCAACATGCCTGAAGACAGGAGAGTGTGAAGCTGAGCCCCAGAGGGAAGACAGGGTTTAGGTGACTGAGGCAGAGGAAGGGCATTCCTGGCAGGGAGACAAACATGAGCTGGGAGGCTGACTTTGGAAAGAGACCTGCAGGCTATGGCAGCCATTCCCAGGGGGGAGTGGGAGGTAGAACAGGATTGCTAGGATGGGCTGTAGCAGTATCCTGACTCCCCACTGAGGACTCCGGCCTGGATCCTGTGGCCATATGAGACCACAAGGAAGCTCACTACCCCCAAAGTGGGAGGCATGAGGGTGAGCAGGACTTGGAGACTGGTGAACCAGTTAGAGGCCCAAGTGATGCCTTGGCAGGTATGGGCAGGGCTACCCAGGGCACAGGCAGAGGGTATTAGGCAACAGATTCAAGTTGCATTTCCCAGATTGAGGTGACAGTTCATGTTCTTAAAGTAGGTGCAGAGCATGAAGGGGAGGAACAAGTCAAAGGTCTTTCACTTTATAAATACCTTGGGGCTTCTCTGGTGGCTCAGATGGTAAAAGAATCTGCCTGCAGTGTGGGAGACCTGGGTTCAATCCCTGGGTTAGGAAGATCCCCTGGGGAAGGGACTGGCTACCCACTGTAGTATTCTTGCCTGGAAAATTCCATGGACAGAGTAGCCTGGCAGGCTACAGTCCATGGGGTCGCAAAGAGTCAGACATGACTAAGCAGCTTTCACTTTCTTTCTAGGTGTGTGGCACCATCCAATTCATGTGATGGGCAAAAGCAGACTTGATCCTTGCCCTGTGTGGCTTAAGAGTCTGCCCACCAACATTTGTACATAGAAGCTGACACAGGCTTTATAGGAGAGGACAGGGTCGCTGAACTCCTAGAGCTGGTGGAACCTGATGAAGCTGGGATGGGGGGTGATGGCTGTGCTGTCAGAGAGAAACACAGGAGACTTCTGGGGAAGCAGTATACTGAGTTCAGCTGAAGGCTGAGCTAGTGGGAAATGATGAGGCAGTGGGAGGGTAGATGGGAGCATTCTAGGCACAGGGAACAGCAAGGAGAAGGCCCTGCAGCAAGAGGGAATGTAGCAGGTCCAAGGATGTGCAGGAAGGCCTGTGTGGCTGGGACACAGAGGGCAAGGGGTGTTTGCAGCTAGCAAGGTTGGAGGGGCAGTCAGGGGCTTGAAGCTCAGCATTGGGGTGGCAGTGCTGATGGCACCTTTGGACAGAGGTGGGCTAGTCGGAAAAGGAGGAATAAGTTTGCGTGGGTGGGGCCAAGTTTGGGGCAGAGTGCCTCTGAGGAGCCGGAAGTAAAGTTGGGCTGGAAATCTGGGGCTCAGTGCACAGAGGTGGTGAAGAAAGTGAGTACAGAGGGAACAGAGGCCCTATGACTGGGCTGTGGAGCCAGGAGGTATGCACTGGGGTGGCAGGGGCGCTGGGAGAGCAGCAGGACTATTTAGGAAGCCACAGGAGCCAGGGCTACATAGAGGGAACGGAGGGCAATGGTGCCCTCTTCTCACCCATCTACCATCATAACGGTAGCCTTTGTGAGCTTGGCAAGGCAGGAATCAGTCCCACTTTACAGATGGGGGAGGACAGCTTAAGACAAACATGGCCTTACCCCAAGTAACGGAGACAGTCAGTGATGAATCCGGGCGGCCTGCCTTCTAGGAGTGTAGCACATGTCAGGGCTCCTGGCTGGGACAGATGAGGTCCTACCTCCTCCCTCTCCAGGTTTCGGTTCTCAGACTCAGCCAAGGAGAGTCAGTGGTTGGGGGGCAGTGGGCTCCATATCTGCAGGAATCATCCAGAGACTGTCATCCCCACCAACCCAGGGCTGTTCCTTCCTCTCAGCTGCAGAGCCTGGAGCAGGAGAAGGGGCGGTGGCGGGTGGAGAAGGCCCAGCTGGAGCAGAGCGTGGAGGAGAACAAGGAGCGCATGGAAAAGCTGGAGGGTTACTGGGGTGAGGCCCAGAGCCTGTGCCAGGCTGTGGACGAGCACCTGCGGGAGACCCAGGCCCAGTACCAGGCCTTGGAGCGCAAATACAGCAAGGCCAAGCGCCTCATCAAAGACTACCAGCAGAAGTACGTGTGGGGCTGGGAGCCCTGGGCCTCAGGAGGATGGGAGGCCTGTGGTGGCCTTCCCTCCCCACCCCAGCCAAGTAGGGGGGCCAGGAGCGCAGAAGTTGGAGGGTCCTGTTGGGGGGGGTGCCTGGGTTCATAATGATTGGGTGCCAGAGCCAACAAACCCAGCCCCAGAGGCTTTGGGAAGACTGGGGATTTCTAGACCTGAGAACAAGGAGTGGGCAAGAGCTGCCCAGGTAGAGCCAAGGACAGGGCTGAAGACCCTGAGACTCTGAACGGAAGCCAGGCCACACACCCTTACCCACTGTTTGTCTCCCACTGATCCCCAGGGAGATTGAATTTCTGAAAAAGGAGACAGCACAGCGCCGGGTTCTGGAGGAGTCAGAGCTGGCGAGGAAGGAGGAGATGGACAAGCTCCTGGACAAGGTAGGCCCTGGATGCCCCAGGGGCAGGAGGGAGCAGCAGGTCAGTCACCCTGTGGATCCTGGTTGGGAGCTCAGGGTCATGTCCCCAGCAGGGGGGCAGGCGGGGCAGGGCCCAAGTCCAGTGCCCAGTCCTGACGCCTTCTCCCCCTCTTTTTCAGATCTCAGAACTGGAAGGAAACCTGCAAACACTGAGGAATTCCAATTCTACTTAACAGGAATCATTCCTTAACCGGACAATAATTAATCCCCTCCCATTGTCCTCCCTCCCCTGTCCTCAATACTTGACCCCGCCCCCTATCAGCCTGGGGACAGGTGCCCCAACTCTCCCACGCCTCCACCCCACCTCACCCAGCTTCAGGGACCAGAGGGCCCACATCATATAGGCCCCTTAAGGTGGCCCAGGCAGACAGGTGGCTGGAAGGATGGCCTCCTTGCCCATGGGACTGAGGCACAGAGGCCGTGGAATGCCAAAGGCTGGCCTGGGTGGTGGATGGACACAAGGACCTGCAGACCAAACTGCCAGACTTTACAACCTCCAGCCTTTGTCTTTGGACTGGAATGGGGCTGGGGGCTCTCCCAGCATCTCACCACCTGGAGGCTGCCTCCTGCTCCTAGGTGGTCCCTGGGCCTCTTGACTTGAGATTCTACCGTCTTGGCCCTTCCCCCCTCCCCTATCATTGTGCTGTTCTGTTGCATTCTTATCCTCCTGCTGGGAAGGGTTGTCTCCACACCTTCTCCCATCCTTGTCCACCTTCCCAGGAGGGATAGAGTCCACTCAGAGCCTGGAGGCTGGGCCAGACCCTGCACTGATTTCTCATGTATCCTTCATGAAAAGGGGAGAGTCCAGGACAAGTGGTGTCCAGCTCCCCCTTCTCCTGGGGCAGCAGCCCTCAATTTCTCCTTGTGCCTCCCCTCCCCCAGGTGCCAAATAGCCATAACCTCCTCCTGGAACCATTCTGCGGCCTCTTTGGGGTCCAGGTGTCCTGGCCAAGCCTGGCAGTGCAAGGGAGGAGAAGAGGTCAGTTTAGAGGGCTGGATTTAGGCAAGGGGAACATTTCTTACTGGAAACCAAGTCCCGTCCTGCCCTATGCAGGGCCACACCTGGAAGCCTTGTACTAACATCATAGAGATTCAGCCTCACCCCACCCACACCCACAGTTTTCCAGTGTTTTGACTGGAGGGCAAAATTTTACTACTTTTCTTCTTTTTTGGAGACCAGGGCTGCGCTACTGGCAGCCTGCTTTCTAAGTGAAATTGACTCTGTTTCCCCACTTTAACCCCAAATCGGGGCTTGGACCAAGGGAGGTGAGACCCCTACCCCAGGTCCCCTCCCCTTTCAGAAACCATCTCATTTTTGCCTCTTATGCCCCTGCCTCAGCCTGGGTTTTTGTTCTTTTTTAAAAAAAACAACCCCTGTACCATCCGTTTTGGCTTCTCCTCGTCCCCTGTAAATAGGCCATGCCATCGATCAGTATTTCTCAGCAATCTCTTCCTGCCCCCAGATGTGCGCCTACCCCCTGAAAGAGCTGGCTGTCTCAGTGACTGGGCCCGTGCAATTCACCTCCTCGGCCTCAGCAGACGGAGGGGGCGGGGCCAGGGGCGGGGCTGTTGGGGAGGCTTCCGGTTTCTCCGGCCGAGGGCCACCCTAGCCCCGCCTTTTGCAGGACTGCGTCTCTGTATATAATATATATATGTATGTATTGTTCCCGGTTTTGTACGGATCATGCCCTCTGTCAGGTCACCCCCATAAAAGCAGTCCCCAGAGCTTTGCCGCCTGGTTTCTTGATTCGCGGGAGGGGGTGAGGGATGCCAGTCTGAGTCAGGGGGTCTGCCAGTGCTACTTCTGATCCTGAGGAGCTTTATGCTGAGAACCCTTGTTCTTGCAAAGTCCGTTTGCCACCCCCGCTCCCATCCCTTCTGGGCAGGGCTAGGGTTTCCAGAGCGTTCCTTAGGCTCATCACTTTCAGCTCTTTTTTACAAGGCCTCCAGTGGAATTCAGAGGATGGGTTAGATACGGTAATGGAGATACCCAGCCCCTACTCTCCCACTAGGCACCCTGTAGAAGGTACAGGAAGGATTAATGGTGGAGGTGGTAGCTGGGGATGGGAAATGATACGTCAGAGCAGTTTTGTGCCCAGGGTCCTAAAGATCCCCCTGGGGGTGGCCAGAGAGAACTTAACTAGTCCTAGCCCTCTGTCCTGCCAGCAGCTCTGGTTGCTAACTCACCAGTTCTAATTAATACCAATGGGTCTGGGAGTCCAGATGCCAGGGTTCCAAAGACAAGTCCCAAAGAGAGATGAGAGCAGGGGGACCACCCCCAACACCAGCCTTTCCTTGCTTTGGGAGGCTGTGTGCTGTATGTGAAAAAACTGAACCACAAGGCACTTGTGTTCAGTGGCCTGGCCCCCAAAAGGATTCTCACAGACCTCTCTGCCCTAAAGAATGGAAATCCAAAAATTAGGACCCTTCAGGATTACCTTGGTGGGTCCCTGATAAACCTGAGATGAGGGACCTCAACCAGAACTCCCAGTTGTAAACCTGAGATGAGGGACCTCAACCAGAACTCCCAGTTGTAGTCAGTTCCTGTGTTGGCCACTCCCTTCTGGATGGCTCTGTCACACAAGTCTCCATGTCAAGCCAAATTCTGGCTTCTGATAGCTTCCCTTCAAAAATCCTAGTTCTACACCTCAGGGCCATATAGAACCAGTCCAGTTCTGCCACTCACTTGAGAATCAACTGGCAACCTGGAGATGGTGGTCATGCATCTTCATGAGAACCATCTTTTACAAGTGGATCTTCCTTGGAACACTTCAGGGAAGACAGTTTCAGGTGGCTGAATTCCAGGATCAGAAACCACCAAACCACAAGGTCACTGGTTATATCTCCTGACTTACAGGTGACTTAGGCCCAGCTCAGGCAACATAGCCAAGTTCCCAGAAGTGAAGTGGCTGGACCTCTCTGGGTGTTGAGGCAGACATGGGAATTGTGATGAAGGCTTCTGTTGATCTGATCTGATCAGAGCTGAGCATCCAGGGCAGGGTGCTATGCCTGTCCGTCCTGTGTATTAGATAAGGGGCTTGCACACTACGTTCCAAAAGGTGGAACCCTTTCAGAAAGTAGCCCCCCAAATCTAAGTATAGTGTGTGGCTGGGGATGGTGGGTATAGCTTTGCAAGTTTCTCAGGCCTGAGATATGGCTCACCTGTGAGACATGTCAAGTGGCCATGGGCAAACCTATGTGAGGCATTACCCCAGTCCAGCCCTGCCCCCTTCCCAGTTCCTAGGAGCTTGAGCAGGTTTGCCACAGCCCAACACTTGCCACAAGGGAGGGAAATCAGATGAGGGGGATTTCATCTGGGGGTCCTATGGCCTACAGGAACAGGGGGTCCTATGGCCTATAGGCACCCTCCCACAGAACCTGCCCCAGTTCTGACTTTACATACCCATCATCTCCCCATTCCCTATGGGGGCGATATAATCAATACCCCACTCCAGCCTACCACCCAAATCTCACCAAATGCCTCCGAACCATGTTCTCTTTAAAGACCCCAGACAGACCCAGTAGGACCTCCCCAGATCTCCACAATCTAGCCAGCAACCCACAGCTGCCAGCAGATTCTGAAGACAGAGATACCCAGACTCCCATAGATCTCCTTGGATCTTACCCCCTAAAATTTGTCATCCTCACCTATGGTCCCAAGACCATCTGGGCCCAACATGCCACCTCCCACAACCCCTCAGAGACCTGGGACTGCAGCAACTCTGGCAGACCATCAGGCAACTCTACTCCTCCAGACTGAGGGATAGAGGTGTGCAACCTCTCCCCTGAGCTCTGGACCCACTTGTCCAACCTTACGACCTGCTCTTGAACAAACAAAGGGGGCAATAGAAACACCCACTTCATGGGTTTATCATGAGGGTGACACTGATCTGAGAAAAGTGCTTAGTACAGTGCCAAGAGCATGCCATCTCAGCACAGCAGCTAGTTGATTTTTGTTTCCCCTGGCTGGCCTACCACCACCTCCAGCTCACCAGGTCCAAGTCTGATCTCATCCACCCCCACCCCCCTCTATGTCCAGGGCCTCAAGCCAAGACCTGCAGTCATCGAGACCCTCCTTCTCCCTCAGTGGCCAGCCAGTCCCCAAACCCTGTCAGTTTCTTCAGTTCTATATCCTTAATAGTTCTCATGGTGATCTTTGATCTTCGTGCCCACCACCATCAACTCAACAGCCTCATGAGGCGTGACACAACCTTCAGGCTGCCTTCTCCAAAGGAACCAAGGTGTTCTTCCTAAAATGCAGATTGGAGCCCCTCACTACTCTTACTTTTCCCACTATGGCTGATAGGATAAGGTCCAGTCTTCCCACCCCCTGCATCCTTCGTCTTCCTCCCCTTTCCTTCCTCCCCCCACTATCCACTAGCGCTTCTGCCCTAGCCTGGCCTGCAGAAGTAGCCTACGTGTCACCTCCTCAGCAGTCCTTCCACACAAAGCCCCTGCCCCACCTCCTCAGCCACCCACAGACAAGGAGGGGCTCCCTGGGTGGGCTCTCCCCACGCTGAAGTGTCCTCTGTGAACCCAGGCTCACAGCCCGCTCTCCTGAGGGCCTCTCTGTTCGTCTGTCACCCTGACAATGCTGTGAGCCACGATGGCCAGGACCAGGTCGATTCTGTTCCTCACGGTCCCCTCCCGCTTCAGCGCACCCAGTTGCTCTGTGGTCGTCCGTTGAATGGATCAGGAGCCCTCATAGGCCTTGCAGAGGAGTCAGAAGCCCCGTGGGTCCTAAGACGGGGCCGCCTCTCTGGCCGCTCACACCCGCGGACTCCCACTGGCCGCGGAGCCTCGGCAATTAGAATCCCGTCACCGGGGCGCCTCCTCCTTCCCCCGTGCTCCCGCTGCCTCCGCCCCTCCCTTCCACTCTCCCGCCCTCCACCCGTTCTTTGTCTCCCGCCTCGCCGCCACGCGCCCCCCGCGTTGCTTCTTCCCCGGGGACCCCCGCGGATCCCCGCAGAAGCGACGCTACGAGTATCTGCCTGCCGGGCGGGGGACCCCCGCGTCCAGCTGGGCCTGGCGGGGCGGGAGGTGGTTCTTCTCTTTCTCTCTCTCTCTCTCTCCCTCCCCCGCATCCACTCTCTCTCTCTCTCTCTCTCAGACACACACACACACACACACACACGCACGCACACACACACGCACAAACGCACGGAGCATCCTCCCCGTCAGGTCTCCTGGTCCTGCCCCGCCCGCCTCGCCTCCTGCTTCCTGCAAACCTCTCTCCGAAATACCCACCCCGCCACGTTTCCTCCGGCTCCAGGACCCCCCTCGCTGACCCCTACCCCTATTCCTGGGATGGAGCGTATGGAGCCAGCCCGGAGCCCCCCGCGGCCGGGGTGACAGCCCCCCACCCCCTTGCCCCTCTCCCACCTGGTCCCTGCCCCAAGCACCATGGGCCTGAGGGGTTTCCGAGGCGCCAGACGCTGAAGATGACAGATGCTGGAGGTAAGGGATTGGGACCCCAAGATCCCTAACGTGGACGAGGACGCGGGGTCACTCGGGCTCGTGGTGGGAACCCTAGTGGGGCTGGATGGGGCCAAGAGACAAGGACCTTTCTTCCCTCTTCCCTAGGGGGGCCTGCACGGAGGTAGGGTGCTGGGCTACCAGGGGAGGGAGTAGAGATAGGATCTGTGTCCCTAATCCTCTCCCTCAGCCCGCAGCCTGGAGAAATTAATTTAAAAAAACAAACTGGTGTTGGGGGAGGGGTGAAGTTTAACTCCTTCTTGCCTGGTGAGAAGCTGGACTGATGGATTGAACAGAAGTAGCCACTTGGCTCTGATTGGAGCATAAGGTCCCTGGGGTACAGAAGATGCCCCGTTCTCCACCCCAGCCCATCTCCAGCGGTGCTTGTGAAGGGACAGATGGACTCTTGCCAGATGCCCCCAGCCTGGGCCTTGTGGGAGGGGGTCACCACTTTCTCTTGCTGCACACTGCTACCCGAGCCCTAGCCTCCTCTCCCAACCGACCCTCTTCAGGCTTTTCCAGTTGCACTTCTCTCTTGGGTTCCTTCTCCTCTTCCAGGGCCCCTTCCCTCCTTCCTACTCCACTGGGGGCTGCCCCTCTCCTGGCAGCTTTCTCCACCCCTCCCCAGGGCCTCACTCAGGGCTGCTTCCCCTGCCCCAGAGAGCTGCTGTTGCTCTCTGGCTCATTTCTTTCTTGCTCTTTCTTCCTCCTCTCTGCAGCTCTATGGACTAACACTCCACCAACCTGTCCATCTCTGTCCTACACTCCATTCCTTCTTCAGGACTTGTGCACACTTTATTTCTCTTTCTCCTTCCCCTGGGTCCCAGGGAACTTGGAGTTCACCTGCCTCCCTTTCTCCTAGGGAAGGGACAAATGCTACTGGTGTTCTTCCTCCGGGAATTGGGAAGGTTGGGGAGGAAGGATTGGCCTGCAAGAGTTAGAGCCCATAGTGTGTCCAGAGAACAAGTTCATCTCCACCTTGTAGTGCTTACCTGGTTTGAATGTGAGTATGGTGTGTCTGTGTGTCTGTGTGTGTGTGTGTGTGTGTGTAGGAGTGTAGAGTTGTAGGAGTGTAAATGGGGGGTTCTCTAATTTTGCAAGGTTCAATTTTGAAAGGTGGTATAGGAGGGGCCTGGAGACATCCTGATGTCATGCTTCCCACAGTTCCCCATGGGACAGTGCAAGAAGGGTCTCCCATATTTGTTGAAGGGTCTCTTCTTATTTGTTGAAGAAAGCAGTTTGTACTGAATCAGAATGTATTGGGTGCTGGTGTGAGCTGGAAGCCCCAGCTCACCCCAGAGGGTACTAAAAGAGAGTGGCATCTACAAGAGGGTCTTATTCCTAGACTGGGATCTTGAATAAAGAGCACATGGGCTTTCCATTGGCTTCCCAGGTGACACTAGTGGTAAAGAACCTGCCTGCCAATGCAGGAGACAAAAGAGATGTGGGTTCGATCCCTGGGTTGGGCAGATCCCCTGGAGGAGGGCATGGCAACCCACTCCTATATTCTTGCCTGGAGAATCCCATGGACAGAGGAGCCTGGTGGGATACAGTCCATGGGGTGGCAAAGAATCAGATATGACTGAAGTGACTGAGCACACACACGTGGGCTTTCCATTCTCAAGTTGTCTAAAAGAAGAAAGCACTGCTGCCCTCAGGGAGCCTCCATTCTGATGGGAGAAGCAGTTCTTCTCTTCAGAGAGCCCCTACTGATGGGAATAGTGGCCCCTCTCCTCAGGAGCTCCTGTCTGATGTGGGGGAGATATGACCTACTTAGGGAATCAATGAAGTATGAAAAATTACTCATTTCCTAGTGGCAGGAAAGGGTGGATTTAGAAATTATATAAACGAATGAAGGGAGTAATGGCTATCTAGGACAGCTTTCTGGTGGAGGTGGCAGCTGGGTCCTGGTCAGATGAGATTTTACGACTGAATGAGGGAGTCTGGTTCATTCTTTGGTGCAGCCTCTTTTCCCATCTGCCTTCAGGAGAGGAAGAGAAGGTCTAGAACTTCTTTATTACTAGCACCCAGAGTTCAAAAATGGAAGAGAGTTCTTAGAGGCTCCATAGCCCTGGCCCCTTCTTACACCTCATTTCCTCCTTGTAGCCCCAAGTGTCCATGGAGCCTGGGGGGACATAGTTTTGACATACCCAGTCTTAGTGAGTATGGATCAGTTCCACTACTCTACCCATCCTGTGCCTTCTCCCAGCAGTGTTCTGTCCTTATGAGTAGGTTTCAAAGCTGCAGATCACTACCCAGGATAAAGCTGAGGGGATCAAGGTTGCCTTCAGCCTCTTACCTCTTGCATCTCAGTTTTCCCATCTGTAAAGTGGAGATACTTAGAATCCCAAGCCTGGCCAGCACACAGTGAGATGATATCTATGTGATAACAGAAGAGGAGAGTTGGAAAAGAACCTAGCAGGCATGTGTCCTAACTTTCCTAAATGTGTCAAATGTATGGTCCAATCCAGTGCTCTGCCCTTCTCGTGGGGACCTGAGAGTTAGAAATAATTGGAGATCATGTCCCAGCCATGTAATGTGCTCCTGACCCTGCTTCTTCCTTCTCCCCTCATCTGCTATCCACCTGCCTCTCTAACACCCAGGCCTTGGTTTAGGGATGTTGCAATCCTATATCTGCTAGGAAGCCTGCCCAAACTGTTTCAGCTACATATATCCTGCTTCTCTACCTGCCCTTCCTTTCTTACAGCCTATAAGCAAAACAAAACCCCTATCCATCCAACTTCTTGCCAGAACATGCATGATGCTTCATAGAGATTTGGCTATCCACTGTTCTGCTGTGGGTACTCTGTATACCCTTCTGCGTCTGTGAGTCTGTCTAGAACTGTGAGAACTGTGAGTTTGTTAAGAACAGAGACCCTGCTGACGATGCCAGCTTCCTGAACAGCTCATGTTCAGAAAGACAGGTGGTGACTTGATGACAGTGGAGGGAGGCAGGACTGGGTGATGGGTGGGAAGATGCCTGAGTGGATGGTGTAAATTGATGGATGTAAAAATGGTTGAATAGGGTGGATGGTGGATGACTGACTGAATGAATGGGTGAATAGCCAAGTAGATGCACAGATAAGTAGGGAGGTAGGTAGATGAGTAGATGGAGGTTCTGGTTCTGATTTTGCCATAACTTATTATGTGATCTTAGGTCAGTCATTCTCCCATCTGTTTCTTTATTTGTAAAATGAGAGGATTGGATTTAATAGTCTTCAAGATTTCTACCAGATTTGACGTTGGACAGTTTATGATAATTAAACGTTTTAAGAAAATGCCAATGATGGAAAGGCTCAGGACGGTGAAGGGGAGATGTTCAGTGACCTGTGTGGAGACAAATCAGCTCGGACCAGGGCCACGAGAGAGCCTGTTGTCTACACCTTGGACTTGCTTTTGTCTCCTGCCCAGGCCCACCATCTGGGGTGTGGTTCAGATGGTTTCTCTTCAAGGGGCTGGAGGAAGACTTGTAAGGGAAGGTGAGGGGCTAGAAGGCCAGGAACAGGTAGCCATTGGCAGCTCCCTTACCACCACCAACCATGGTGTATTTCCTTCTTATCCATGGTTCTTCTTCCTCTCTCTCTTGTCCTCCCAGCTCTCTCGAGTCATGGCTTCTTCAAAGCTCCGAGAACCTGTGGATGAGGTTTTTGGTAAGTACTGTTTGACTCTATCTCTAGCCAAGGCTAAGAGGTTTTGAGGGAGGGGCAGTCCCGGGGACTTCAGTGTGTGTGTATTTTGGCCTTAAAGTCTGAGTGTTTGTCACCACTATCTGAATAGATATCCAATTACAACAACAATGATGATAGTAAGGGTCCTCATTTATTAAGTGCTGTCTCATGCCAGGTACTAGGCTAGCACCGCCATTTCATATGCCCTGTATCCCATCTGTTGTTATTGTTATTCAGTGACTACCTCCTGTCTGACACTTTGTAACCCCATGAACTGCAGTACACCAGGCTTTCCTGTCCTTTACTATCTCCCTGAGTTTGTTCAGATTCATGTAGATTAAGTTGGTGAAACAATCTAACCATCTCATCCTCTGCCACCTGCTTCTCATTTTGCCTTAAATCTTTCCCAGCATCAGGGTCTTTTCCAATGAGTCAGCTCATCACATCAGGTGTCCAAAGTATTGGAGCTTCAGCTTCAGCATCAGTCCTTCAAATAAATATTCAGGGTTGATTTTCTTTAGGATTGATTAGTTTGATCTCCTTGCAGACAAGGGACTCTCAAAAGTCTCCAGTATCACAATTCAAAAGCATCAATTCTTTGACACTCAGCCTTCTTTATGGTCAAACTCTCACATCTGTACATAACTACTGGATAAGCCATAGCTTTGACTATGCATATCTTTGTGGGCAAAGTGATATCTCTGCTTTTTAATATGCTGTCTAGTTTTGTCAAAGCTTTCCTTCCAAGAAGCAAGTATCTTTTAATTTCAAGGCTGCAGTCATTGTCTGCAATGATTTTGGAGCCCAAGAAAATAAAATCTGTCACTGTTTCCACTTTTTCCCCTTTTATTTGCTATGAAGTGATGGGACCAGATGCCATGATCTTAGTTTTTTGAATGTTGAGTTTCAAGCCAGCTTTTTCACTCTCCTCTTTCACTCTCATCAAGAGACTCTTTAGTTCCTCTTGACTTTCTACCATCAGAGTGGTATCATCTGCCTATCTGAGGTTGTTGATATGTCTCTCCACAATCTTGACTCCAGCTTGTGATTCATCCAGCCTGGATTTCACATGATGTACTCTGTACAGAAGTTAAATAAGCAGGGTGATAATATACAGTTTGTTGTACTCCTTTCCTAATTTTGAGCCAGTCGGTTGTTCCATGTTTGGTTCTAACTGTTGCTTCTTGACCCACATACAGGTTTCTCAGGAGGCAGGTAAGGTGGTCTGGTATTCCCCTCTCTTTAAGAATTTTTCATAGTTTGTGGTGATCCACACAGTCAAAGGCTTTAGTGTAGTCAGTGAAGCTGAAGTAGATGTTTTTCTGGAATTCACTTGCTTTCTCCATGATCCAAAGAAAGTTGGTAATTTGATCTCTGGTTCCTCTGCCTTTTCTAAACATCTACATCTGGAAGTTCTTGGTTTATTAGTACTGAAGGATTTTGAGTATAACCTTGCTAGCATGTGAATTGAGCACAATTTTACTGTCGTTTGAACATTCATTGGCATTGTGCTTCTTTGGGATTAGAATGAAAACTGACCTTCTCCAGACCTGTGACTACTGCTGAGTTTTCCAAATTTGCTGACATATTGAGTGCAGCACTTTTACAGCATCATCTTTTGGATTTTAAACAGCTCAGCTGGAATTCCATCACCTCCACTAACTTTGTTCATAGTAATGCTTCCTAAGGCCCATTTGACTTCACACTCCAGGATGTCTGGCTCTATGTGAGTGACCACACCACTGTGGTTATCTAGGTCATTAAGACCTTTTTTTGTGTAGTTCTTCAGTGTGTTCTGGCCACCTCTTCTTAATCTCTTCTGTTTCTGTTAGGTCCATACCATTTCTGGACCACGTTTTGTCGGAACTCTTCACGATGACCTGTCCATCTTGGGTAGCCCTGCATGGCATGGCTCATAACATCACTGAGTTACACAAGCCCATTTGTCATGACAAGGCTGTGATCCATGAAGGGGATGTATCACTTTAACCCCACAATAATCCTAAGAAGCGTACCCATATAGCAGACATTAAGCCTAGGACACAGCGCTGCAGTGACTGGCTTTAAAGATCACATGGCAGTTTAGTGGCAGAGCTGGGACAAGAACTCCAGACTGCCCAGTTCCCTGCTGGCAGTCACTATGCTGTATACCAGGATACACTGTGCCCTGTAAACCCAGCAGAGGCAACACAGG